AAATTAAAAGTCAAACACGTTTATGTCGATACACTTTCACGATTGGTCAATGTCGGCTTTGGTTCTTCATCACTGAAATTGATAGTTACGAACAGATCTTGAGGTCAAGAAACGAAGGGTTCATGAATCGGAGTCGATGTTGATGTGAGGTTCTTTGATTATTTCGATTTGAGTTGTTGTGGTTGATAGATGATTCACATCTACAGGGAAGAAAGAATTGTGATTTCGATGCATATGAAGAAATTGATTTCGTGAATGTGATGAAGAACAATGATAAAATCACTTTTTGATCCAAAATTGGTCATTTGAATCATCAATTTCGTGTTTATGTTCTTTGACTTTAAAAAGTCAAACTGTGAAAAAGTTGGAATTCAAGAGACGAATCGGTGAAATCGTATGATGAAATTGATAGTTAAAAGTTGTTTTGAGGCTGTAAGAGTCGAAATCTAGCTTAATTTGGGTTTAAGTTCGAATTTGGAATTAAATGGGTGTATGTTCATGATGAACGAACACTGTGTTCGTTCGTATTTGTTTCTTGAACGAGATGTGCTGGGATTTGATTTCAATCTCAAGGGATGAAGTGATTGAAGAGGAAGGCAGTCGAAATTGTGATTTAGTTTGAATGATACAAGCGAAGGTTGATTTGGTATTGTTTTGGGATCGTGGTTTGATGGTCGAAGAGATGGGATCATTGTCAAGAGTCGACGATCTGGGTATTTTGGAGTCGATGATTTTATTGATTGGGTTTAAAACAAGAATTGTTGATTTTGAGTATTTCGAATGATTGATCGATGCTTGATAACAAATCTATGACTTTAAGAACGAAGGGTGGTTTTGGGTTAGAACAAATGATCGATTGGGTTGGAATTCGAATGGTTGGACTGGAAATTTGGAAAGATTGTTGTTTGATGGATCTAGCAAATGGATTTTAGATTCGAAGGGTTCCTGGACGATTATTGATTTTGGGGTTGATCGATTCGAAGTATGCCTGTTGAAAACGAAAAAAAAAACACGATGAACTATAAGAACGAAAATTTGATTTTGGGTTGAATGTACGAAGTGAGTTAATTCGATTCAGAGGTTGGATGATTAAGATGTTACTGTTCATTAAGAGGCTTCGAATGCCTTCGAATTCGTGTGTTTGGGAAAATTTTCGTATGAAGAGGAGATAATTTCGTACGAAGAGTTGCAAAATTTCATATGTTTGGAATGGAAAAGGAAAATTTTCGAATATAGTCCCTCAAGTTTCGAATGGTTGACAAATGGAAAAAGGCTTCGTATGAATCATCAAAATTTCGAATGTTTTGGTCAAAAAGCAGAATTTTCGAATTCAGCCCCTAAACTTTCGAATATTTGGCAACCTCAACAATTAATTGGAGTTTCGAATGTTTGACACTTTTCACCCAAATTCGAAAATTTTCTGAAATTTCGAATGTTTGGTCAACTCTTCGTATGTTTGGAACACAAATAGCAGAATTTTTGAAAATAGTCCATGAGGCTTCGAATGTTTGGCGGTTCATACCCAAATTTGAAAAATGACTGTTTTTGCTGAAAATTGAAGAAAGTGCATTTCAGGCCCCTATAGTTTGTACAAGTTGACGCTTTCTACCCAGCTTTGAAAAAGGGGGAGAGTTTTGCATATTTTGCTGTTTTAGGCGCACCGGGTCACTGCAGAATTTTGAAATTGACAATTTCTACCCATTTTTGAGAAATTTTGTCAAAGGCGATCCATGAACGAAGCTAAAAATTGATTTTTTTTTGGATTTTCCGGATTGAAGCACAAAGTTTATGCCACATGTTAAGGGGGAGTTTTGACACGAAAAATTCCGAATAGAGCACGTTCTCTTTCCTTGAAGGTTTTATAATCAAGTTTCGATTATAAAAAGGGGGAAAAATTTATATGGAAATTTGAACTTGAATTTTTCATATTACGCGGATTTGACGACCGAAGTGACCTTAATTTTTGAAGCTTACGAGATGATGAAATTGGAAGTTCGGAAGTGATGTATTCGAAATGGGTTTGGTTTTATTGAAGATTTTTGGGGTGTGCTTTATGCTCAACTTTTGGTGATCAATTTGGAGTTTGAGAAGCTCGTGATCATTCGTTGATGCTCGGTTTATACGGTCTCACATCCTAAAGCCCAAATTGAAGAATCATGGAAGAATTGAAGATTGAAGTTCGTTTCGACATGTGTCACCCTTGAGGCTCGGATTGCGTAGTTGCTCGATTTTGGAAGATTTGAAGTGGGTCATTCATTCCTAACTTTGAGGGGGAGAATGTTGGGGTACAAAGTTTTCCTTGAATGACTTTGTAATGTTTGACTTTTGTAAAACCCACTTGCATGTGGAGTATTAGCCTTGTGACACATGAGAGATAGAGAGTGAGAGAGAGACATGTAAACACCTCTATAAATAGTGGGTTCATACCACTTGTAGAGGTGTGCTTGAGAGATGTAAAAGTGAGTGTGTAAGTGTGTGTTATTTATGTAGTCTAGATCTAGATCCTTTTTGTAACACTATACATAATCAATACATCTCTTGAACACCCAAATCACCATGTTCATTGTGCAAACTTTAATTCCGCATGCCAAACCATGTTCTTATGTCACTACAAAGAGCGTGTTTTGGTTGAATTAGTAAAGATAGGTCTAGTCAAAGAGCGTGTTTTGGTTAGATAATTTGGCAAACAATAGGTATTAGAGCGTGTTAATATCTTTCAGTTCCAACTTAGAATAACAATCATGCATTACATCAAGTCACAATCAAGTTAAATGACAACATTGAGAACTAGTTATAGAATCATTCCAACAAATTGTTTACAAATTTGTTTAGTTTTTTGCATGTTTTCAAAAGAGATTGTTATTTACATTATAACAGATTTTGCATATACCCCCCCCCCCTTTGTGCCTAAAGTAACTTGTGCAAAAAAGTATAGACTTTTGTTCCGTGTCTTTGAGGATCCACCCTGCTTGCCTTGTGCTGCTTTTTAGTTCATTGAAGCAGTGTATTTGGAGTCCATAGTACCCCTATTATTTGTTGGGTTTGACACACCTAACATGTAGTTTGCTGAACACTCAACCCTGCTATTTAAATCTCCAACCCATTCTCTAAAAATGACTTGCCATTTTTATCAAGGCCAAAAATTCATTTCAGAGATGATTATGATGATTAAAAATGGTCCTCAGCGAATATTTGAGGACGACCGTAGAATAATTTTAGCTCTTATCAATTCTAAAGAACTACTTCTTCCCATTGTTCGAATAAACAAAACCTCTTTCAGGTTTTGTGATAGGATATCCATCCACTAACTTCGAGAGTTCGAACATTTTTTAAATGACTTTTCTTTATTACAACCTCCTTAAAGCTTTCAAAATATTCCTTTGATTCCTTCACAATTTGTACAAAAACTTCCATTGCCTTCCTGACATTTTTAGCTTGAGCGTCCATTTTCTCTTTACTAGCTTTTGTAAAAACCTGGATAACATCAATTTAGGCTTTCATCTTGTTTAACTCTTCATGCATAATTTTGGATAAGTCTTCAAACAGATTAGCAAAAGGTACCAGTTTTGCAGGAGCTGCCACCAGAGGAGACACAATGAACTTCTCAAGTTCTTCAATCTTGTTTTGTTGCTTGTTTATATTTGCTTGTTGGTGAGAGATTGTTAATTATAATGTTTTGACTTGTTCTGCAGTAAGCTCCAAGGTCTGATGTTTTATCAATTATAAACTTATTAACTTATTTCTGTAATTCAACAACACGTGATACCGATGGACTAGAAGGTATGTGGTAGTGTCTATGTTATTTTTTTTTAATGGTAACGTAGATGGTTAATTGTTAGTACACCTCAATTAGATTAACTCTCAATGCCTTGAACTTCAGGCTTACATAAGAGGGAATACCCTCTACCAACCAGACTAGTTAATATTATTTTAATTTGTAAACCATATAAATTTGTAACATTTTATTATAATAAATAAATAATTCTACATAACATTTTTTCTCCGCATATAATAATTTATACTTACATAAATTATACAATGTTGTACTTTAAAACAAATCATTTAGTACCAAAAACAACTAATTATTGAGAAATTTCATCAAATGACCAAAGAGAATGAGGTGTTTGAACATTTTGATCATTAAAATCTGAGTTTTGTAGAATGGCCAAGGGATCCGCAGAGGGGGCTCTACAGAAGCCTTTTACCTTCTGGGGATTGTGAATAGTAACGAGGAATTGAGGTGACAGGAGAAAAAGACACAAACAAAACGGTTTGTTGCATACTTCGTCAAAAGGTGCTCTGCGCATCTGTTCTCTAAGGAGCTGTTCTTCGACTAACCATGACAACAATCAGGATTTCGTTACTGTTTCTTATCAATTAACCTAGGAAACACCCTAAAAAGCATATAATTGATTCAATATAAATCAAATACCAAAGGTTTCATACAATTTCAAACAATAGTGAAATCCCAATTTCAAACATACAATTTCAAATACCGAAGGTTTCGACTAACCATGACAACAATCGGGATTTCATTACTGTTTCTTATCAATTAACCTAGGAAACATCCTAAAAAGCATATAATTGATTCAATATAAATCAAATACCGAAGGTTTCATACAATTTCAAACAGTAATGAAATCCCGATTTTTGCCATGGTTAGCCCCCTCTGAGAAAGTATGCAACAAACTTATTTTATTTTTATTTTTTTGTTTTTTCCTCTGCCACCTTAATTCATCGTTAGTATTCATATTCCTCAAAAGGTAAAAAATTTAGACCCCCTCTGCAGATCCCATGATCATTCTACAAACAAATGTTCAAACACCCATTTTCATTTGGTGTTTTGATCAAATTTCTCTTAATTATTTATACATATTAATTCGATAATACGTCATGTATGTACGAGTCAAAAGACCTCGCCACGTGTCAAAAAATCAATGGAATAATGGGATATACTATTACCATCAACGGCGGAGCCCACCTTAAACTCCGGGATTCTCAAAACATCTTAAAAACACGCCCATTCCGATCATCTCCATTCTCATACAAACGCAAAACCTCGAAATCCAGCTTTCAACTTCAACCAACAACTACAACTCTAGTCTCTAGAGCACACTCCCAAAGATTTGCTGCTCGTTTTTCCTCTTCATAAACTCCCGATTTCACCCTTGCAGCTTCGATAGCATTTTCTAGTCTAGAAATTCCCGTTTAAAATCAGACGAGCGACGCAATTCTTTCGAAAATTTAGGAGGTTATGGTTATAAGGGTTTTAAATAGAATAACTGCAAACTAGGGTTTTAATTTTATGTCTTTCTGGGCAAAATCTATTAGGTTCTTAATGACATTCTCGTGATTGCGAACAAATTCATTTCAAATTTCGATAATGGCATCAACCCCTGCTGTGCCGCCGGCATTTGGGTTGCGGCTGTGGAAGTCGGATGTGGATTTCCGCCCAACGGCGCTTCTCCGTCGGAGGGTTTTGATTCGCGGCAGCGATTGTAGAATTTTGTACTGCTGTTCCGGCAAGGTAGTGCCGATCCGGAGAATTGCTGGTGGGTCGGGTCGTAAAGGTGGGAGTAATGCTGAGGAATGGCCGATTGAGTTGAAGAAGAAGAGTCACAAAGTCCGAGTACAAGCTGCTCCTGCATTGCCCTTTGCATCATCACAGTACGTTTTTCCGATACTTTGTATTTTCAGGAGCACACTCCCTTCATTTTCTTAATACTCAATTGGGGGACACACATAGATTTATAAACGATACGGGGATTCAATTGGGGGACATACATAGATTTATCCATCAATCCTTCATCTTTGTTATCCCTGAAGTTTGAAATCTAACTTGCATTCGAATTGCTGTAGATCTCTGAATCCTTCAAGACAAGAGAAGTTCTTTCCACGCTGCACCACAAGAAATTCCGGGCCTCAATCTCGTGACACTCCACCAAAAAGAGGTAACTTCTGAAATCTGAATCCTTCAACACAAGAATTTCTTTCAATTTACTTGTTTTTGTAATTGTAGACACAGGTATTGCAAACGAGAAGGATTGGGGCATCAGTTTGAGTGAACATGTGAATGAATCTGGAACCAATGTGGATGGTAGTTCATGGTACAGAGAAAGTGGAGAAGACCTGGGTGAAAATGGATTCAGATGTAGATGGACAAAGATGGGTGGTAAAAGTGATGATGGCTCTTCAGAATGGAAAGAAACGGTATTTATTACTTATTATACGTATGAAGTATGAACTCCATTGTTTATATAACCTTGCTTATAAAGTATCACCCCAGGTGGATGCATTAATTGGATTTGTTGATGTCATTGACAGTGGTGGGAGAAAAGTGATTGGAGCGGATACAAAGAACTAGGTATAAATATAAATATATAATGCTTGTAAGAGTTAAATAATCAAAAAATATGGATATAAATATATGGCGATGTATCATGTATATGCAGGTGTTGAGAAATCCGGAAGAAATTCTCAAGGGGATTCATGGTGGGAAACATGGCGAGAAGTTCTTCACCAAGACGAATGGAGGTTAATATTGTAATTTTAAGAAATTATGCATCTTGATCTTAGTGACACAAAATTGGTTCTGTAAATTGCAGTAATTTGGCAAGGATTGAAAGAAGTGCACAAAAGCAAGCAAAATCAGGCATAGAAAATGCCGGTTGGTATGAGAATTGGTATGCACTTTTTAGTTTTTCCCCATGTATTTTTTAGGGCTATTTTCAACAATCGAGAAGGGCATTTACGTCTTTTGACATTAGGTGGGAGAAATATGATGCGAAGGGTTGGACGGAAAAAGGAGCACATAAATATGGTAGACTAAATGAACAATCATGGTGGGAGAAATGGGGAGAACATTATGATGGAAGAGGATCTGTTCTAAAATGGTATTTTTAATAGCCAATAAAGAAAAAGCAAGTAAATAGTTCAAAAAGTCTTTATCAATCTTTTTCTTTATTTTTAAATTTATTTATAGGACGGACAAATGGGCTGAAACTGAACTTGGAACGAAATGGGGAGACAAATGGGAGGAGAAATTTTTTGCGGGTATCGGCTCTCGTCAAGGAGAAACATGGCATGTATCCCCCGTTGGTGAACGTACGTCTTATTCTTATTTTTTTATTTAAAAAAAGAACTTATAAAAATTGCTTAAAATATAATTATCGACACTTTTTAATCGTATGTATCAGGTTGGTCAAGGACATGGGGGGAAGAACACTTGGGAAACGGGTAAGTTTGTCAAATAAATACAGAAACAAGGCTTTTTAAGTTTTTACAAATTTGGCATTGTTTATTTTTTTTTCTAGCAGAAAGGTGCACAAGTATGGGAAAAGCACAACGGGTGAAAGTTGGGATATTGTTGTAGATGAGGAAACTTATTACGAGTAAGTTGACAGATATTTTTTGTTTTATTAATAAAACGCGATTACATGAGTTTGAGTTATATGTTTTGAATTTTTGATTAAAATTTAAAAGGGGGGAACCACATTATGGATGGGCTGATGTTGTTGGTGATTCAAGTCAGCTGCTATCGATCCAACCACAAGAGAAACCACCGGGTCAGGGTGTGTACCCATATCTTGATTTTGGTTCTTCATCATCACCTCCTAAAGATGGCCCTTCTTCACCACCTTCACAGTGATTCAAACCTCATCTAGCCTTTTTTGTTTCATTATTTTCATTTTTTGGTGTTAGATTTCTTGGCCAATTGTATTTCTTCTTTGATAGACATATTGTTCATTCATTTGATATTGGTTGGGTAGTTTAGGTATTTTATGTTTAAGCCTCTTTGCAACATTCATGGTTTGTTAAAGTAAAGCATGGATCATGCCCACAATGATTGGTCCGGGAAAACTCTGACGATCTTACACATAACCGGACCCTTAATGGGCCTTAAATGGTTTATAATCGGGTTTTAGGCCTAAACATTCAAATAAATATACCTTGAGTTCATGGGCCTGTGCCTTGACCGGGCCTGGTTGTAAAAAGGTACAACCCGTGTTACCGCTTCTTAAGCCGGCTTTATTTAACCGGTTCTAGACAATGCCTATTTTAACCGAATTTAACTTTTTTTTAATCTTTTATAAAATATAAAAATTGAAAAAAATAGATATTTAACCAAACCCGTGATGGGGACTTCGTAGTCAATCAATTGAAAGTGGAACTTTAACCGAAATCCATTTTGAAAAATGTAACATATATAATTGGTCGGGTCTGGTCCAAAATAAGTTATTATGTTTTTGTTAATATCTTTTATACTTGAAACTTAAAAGCATCCATAACAGGAGTTGAATAAGATTTCAATAAAATAAAATTAAATATAATATAAAAAAGAAACGGTTGACTTTAATGTTTATTGAAAAATTCATGAAATATTTTAGTGTAAAATTTTCGTTTTTAAAAGATGAAAGATGGTTGAATTCTCTTGCTAACTTGACACTCTATTCAACTCTAAGGTAGTGTTTGTTTTTTGTCTGCAGATCTGCGTGACCTCTTCTGTCTGCGCCGCGCAGACCACGCGCAGACATTAGCCTTCGCAGACTGTTTGTTTTTTTGAAGACTGCAGACCTAAAAATGTCTGCGCGCCCTCTTCTTGGCGCAGATGTGGACCAGAGTCTTCTAACATCTTCAGACATCTTCTACCCTAAAAAAAACATATATATCTTTATTTTTTTTAAGTTTTTTTTAATTTATATTTTTTCCAACTTTATTAATGATAAACAATTTGAAAAAAAAATTACAAAACTTAAAAAAAACGTTCGACGATACAAACATGATATTTTTGACAAATTTATAAATAACGATTATTACAATAATAGTCGTTGAAGTTGTTTATATAAATATGAAAAAAAAATCATAATATATTCTTATATTTGTTTGCCAAATTTTGTAAAACATTATTTAATACAGTATCGTCAATTTCTCGAGAAAATATTTATTGTACATTTTTAATGGATTTAATTGAAAAAATTGAAGTTTATTTCCATCCAGTTATGTATCAAATTATTTGATCACTAATTATAATGTTTAGTTATAACTTTGCAACCAAAGTTGTTGGTTTTTATTAAATATATACATTAATTCATACCATTTTATTTTTATTTTTTATACAATAATACATAAAAGTTGATCTAGATTCGTTAATTATTTATAACAAAGTCATAAAAATATTAAAAAATCACTTTGAAATTTGGAAAAATTCAGTTTATTTAGATTTCAGTTTATTTTAGTAGCCCGCAGATGTTAAAAAAACAAACAATTTTCTTTTTTCAGACTGCAGACGTTTGATCCATCTCTTCTATTGCAGAGGTCTACAGATGTGGTCCGCAGACTGCAGACATTTTCTCTCAGAAAAAACAAACAACACCTAAATGAATTGTGGATGCTTTTATGTTATGCTCCAAACTATGAATTTCAATAAAAGAAACATGAAAATGTGTCATCACTAATCTATATTTATATAAAGAAAAAAATATGAATTCTATTGTATTTAATATATTTTTTTAACAAAAATAAAGTATAGTTTTCAGTAAAATAATTTTTGTGCGGTTTTATAGAAAGAAAACATTTTTATTAATATTTAAGCGTATAAATAATGTTTTTAAACATATTCAAATGTGTAAAGAATTTTTATTTATAAAAATAAATATTCAAATGATAAAATACATATATAATATATATTTAAATACAAACATATTTTTATATATTTAAAAAGTATTTATTAATATCTAAATTTTATATATTTAAAAAGTATTTATTAATATCTAAATATATAAAGAAAACATGTTTATTAAAACATATTGAAGGGTTGCAACGAAGTTTTCATTATTAGAGAGTCTGTGTATGTAAGTTTATGTAAGGAGGGAAGTAAATAAATTTGTTGATAATGAAAAAGTTTGTCATTACGACTCACATGAAATATGACTCAAATGAAAGAAAAGAGATAAAGATTTGGAAAAGTAGTATACTTTTTGATTTATACATATTTAGTCATGAAATTTTTTTGTCCATATTTGAAAATTTAATTTGTTTTTCTGTCCATATTCAGTCCTTACAACCGGCTACTTCATGTTAAGCCGGAAAAATGACTTAATATAATAATATATTTTTCAGTTTGTACACATTTAGTCCTTAATGTTGTTGTACATATTTAGTTATTATGACTGGTTTTTCATATTTTGCTCACAACAACATACGTGAGACAATCATTAATGATGTGTTCTCATACGTGGCTCGTCCTTCACTTATACCGGTAAACCTAATTCACGAATCGGTCAAATAATGTTGGTGGCCTAGTTTTCTTCAAGCATAAGATGTCATCGACTTCAGTTTCATATATCTCCATAGCAAACAACGAGATTCTTTGTCTTGAAAGTATAAATTCGAGTTAGAAGGAAGTAATCACAAAGAATCTCGATGTGTGCTATGCAGTTAGATGAAAGTCATGAAACCAAAGCCGATAACATCTTCTGCTTCGAGGAAACTAGGGCACTAACATTATTGACTGATTCGTGAATTAGGTTACAGATATAAGTGAATGAGGAATTATATATGAGAACACCTCAAATAATGATTGTCCTACATAGGATGTCGTGGGCAAAATATGAAGAAACCGATCATAAAGACTAAATATATACAAAAAACATTAAAGACTAAATGTATACAAACTGAAAAATATATTACTCTATTAAGTCATTTTTCCGACTTAACATGAAGTAGCCGATCATAAGAACTGAGTGACCAAATATGTACAAATTAAAAAATATATTATCCTTTTAAATTAATTATTACCTAAAAGAAAAAATATAGCTCTCCAATATGTTTTGGGATATGTTTGTATCGTATGAACATGTATAATTACAACTTTCTTCCATCGTATATCTATATTGCGGTCAGGTCAAAAAGGTCTTAACTTGGTGGTTTAGACGCTGCACATTCCTTGAAGGTCTTGAATTCGATTTCCTTCGGCATCAATTTCTTTCCTGCGAGGCTTCAATTTTCTGATCAATATAACAAACTGGCAGCCACCCAATTAATAAAACGGGAAAAAATCACTAGGTGATTTATTTATTTGTTTCTAATGAAATTTATGTAAAATAACCTGAAATCAATGAGAATCACACGTGGCCAAAAAGAATACATTTAGTATGGATTGGATTTATTGGGGATTTAACTTTGTTGAGCTATTCCCAAATCTTTTCTCGACTCAAATCACTCGGACTCAATTTTACACAAGAGTTTAGCCCAAAATGAGTTAGAACTTTACTCATCCCATGACCCATAGCATGACAAAAGATAAATCTATGCCAATAACTAAAATATCATACGTATTAAGTATCGCAGAAACAAAAATACATGAATTACAAATCAACTGGACTCAAAACTCGCGATCTATGCAACCCGAAAATCTATATGATGGAACCCAAACACGAAAAAAAATGAATAACATCAGTTTTTTTCTCCGTTCAAAAAAAAAAAACCGAAGCTCGTGCATATTATTATTTATAGTACGTAATACATAAGAGTTCTACGTTTACAGGACAAAATACATCTACAAGATAAAATAATACCGGAGATAATGTCTATATATGGATTGCATAAACAGTAATTAATTTAAAATATTTCTTGATAGACTACTGGATGTAAGATTGGCCGGTGATGTCAATATCCCTAACGCCAGAAGACGGAGGTGGTTTATGTTTAAGTACCACCGGAGTTGTATCTGAAGGTCCATCGGCGCTTTGGGTTTCACTTGCCGGTGGTTGCCTTGGATTTTTAAGTGGTGGCTTATCGTCATCTTTGCCGTACATTCCACCGCCGTATGCTTCGTGAGTGAGAGGCTCCATGGTTGAAATTATGGGGTGGCTCAGTCTATTTTCGTTGGCGTTGCGGCTGCCGGCTGCGTCATCCGCCACCACTTTTGTCTGCTCCTTATCTCGTTCGACTTTTTCCATTTTCGTGAAAATTGCGTGTTCTAATCATCATGGTATATATGAAAACAATGCGTCTTTGCGTGGCATGAAAATTTGAGTGGCACATGTTCTTGTTGACATGTGTATCTATGTAACAGGAGGCAAGTATATGACTAACCACTTTAATAAGGTAAAATTACATAAATAGTCCATGTATATTATAAATAGTAATATGAAATATGATATCTGGTTTATTATTGATTATTGAGATTATTTGTAAATCTTGAACGTTATTCGCATGATAAAAGATAATCTGAATCGCAAGTTACCAATCACAACTCCATTTTTTATTACTATATTTGGTTTATTGGGATAAATTTTGTTGGGCTAAGCCTAAATCTTTTTCTCGACTCAAATCATTCGATTACATAAGAGTTTATATTGATGTTCACAGAAAGATGAAATTATTTCTCTCATTACTGAATTTCATCGTTACAAACTGTTTATATACAAGCTCTAAACATAACTAAATCACACCTCTTATCATACGCTATATTCTTATCATACGCCTAACAGCTATAACAACTAAATGAATGAACCGACTAACTGATTAGCTATTAAAGAACACGTGTGTATAAATATATCTAATATACCCCCCTTAAGATGGACGCTGAAAAATATCTTGAAGAGCCATCTTAGATAATAAAGGAACCATCTTGGCTTTTGGTAAAGGTTTAGTGAATAAATCAGCAAGTTGATGTTGAGAACGAATATGCATGAGCTTGACTGTTTTATCCAGAACTTTATCACGAATGAAATGGCAGTCCAACTCTATATGCTTTGTTCTTTCGTGAAATTGTGGATTAGAGGCTAATTTGATAGCTGACTCATTGTCACAAAAGAGTAATGTAGGTTGTGAGGTATCAACTTGAAAAGCTTGTAACAAATGCTTGAGCCATATGATTTCACTAGTTGTGGCAGCTAAGGCACGATATTCCGCCTCAGTAGAAGAGCGTGAAACAATGGTTTGTTTCTTGGATTTCCAAGAAATCATAGAATCTCCAATGAAAATACAAAAACCAGTTATGGAACGCCTTGTGTTGGGACATCCCGCCCAATCTGAATCACTAAAAGCATGAAGCTGTAATGATTGTTTGGAGGATAAAAATAATCCTTGACCTGGATTATGTTCGAGATATCGTAGTAAATGATTAACAGCTTCCATGTGTGGCTTGGTTGGTGAATTAATATATTGACTCAACCTATGTACATCATAGGTTATATCAGGCCTTGTTATATTCAAATACATCAGCCTTCTGTATTGACTTGGATCATCTAAAGGTTGACCATCAAATTTTGAAATTTTGAGCTTAGGATCCATAGGATATTGAGTAGGTTTAGCAGCTAACATGCCCGTGTCTTGAAGTAAATCCAATGTATATTTCCTTTGGGAAACAACAATGCCTTGTTTAGACCTGGCAATTTCTAAACCAAGGAAATGTTTAAGATTACCCAAATCTTTGAGTTTAAACTCATTACTCAATCGAGTCTTGACATTATTGATTTCATCCAAAGAAGCACCGGTAAGAACTATATCGTCAACATATACTAATGCAATGTAGGTTGACCCAAATCCTTTGTAAAACAATGAGTAATCAGCTTTAGACTGCATAAACCCTTCTGCAAGAAGAAATGATGAAAACTTTGCATACCATTGTCTGGAGGATTGCTTAAGTCCATATAAAGACTTTTGCAGCTTGCATGCAAGTTTGACTTGTGACGAATAACCTTTTGGTGAAACATAACCTTGTGGTAGCTGCATATACACATCTTCAAGTAAGTCATCGTTAAGGAATGCATTATTAACATCAAGTTTCAATAGAGGCCATGAGTTTTGAGCAACTAATGCAAGAAGAAGCTTCACTGTAACTAATTTTGCAACCGGTGAAAAAGTATCAACAAAATCGACCCCTTCTTGTTGGTTAAAGCCTTTGGCAACAAGCCTTGCCTTATATTATCGTTCAATTGACCCATCTGCCCTCCTCTTGATTTTATATATCCACTTGCAGCCTAAAGCTTTTCTGTCTGGAGGTAAGGGCATAATAGACCAAGTATTGTTTAATTCCAATGCATTTAGTTCTTCTGTCATAGCATCTGTCCATTCTTTAGATAATGCAGCTTCCTTATATGATTTTGGTTCAATCTCAGCTGAAATAGCTAATGTAAAAGCCTTTTGCGTAGAAGATAATCTGGAATAGTCAACAGATTGAGAAATTGGATATCTGGCTTTGGTAGTTATTGGTTCATTTTGAACAAGGTTACAATGATAATCTTGTAAGTACGTGGGTTTAATTCTGAGTCTTTGTGGTCTAGAAGAAATAGGTGGATGTTGTAAGACTTCCTCATGATCATTAAAAAGAGAATCATCATTAGAAATTGTATTATACAATTCTGTGTCATCATCCAATTCAGGGTCAAGAACAACAGGTACAGTCTGAAAAGGAAAAGGATTATCATTGGATTTATCTGTGGTTTGAGTAAAAGGAAAGATATTTTCATGAAAAACTGAGTCACGAGACATGAATATTTGCCTTGTTTCAAGATCAAGAAACTTAAAAGCCTTCATTCCAGGTTTGTAACCTATGAAAACACATGCAGTAGCACGAGGGGAAAATTTGGTACGCCTTGAATTAAGAGTTGAAACAAATGCTAAGCATCCAAAAGATCTAAGCATATTGTAATCAGGTTGTTTATTATATAACCTTTCAAATGGAGAAATTTTACCAAGTAACTTGCATAGAGTCCTATTGATCAAAAAAGTGGCATGAAGAACACATTCTGACCAATAAATGAGAGGTAATTTGGACTGAAAATACAATGCACGAGCTACATTTAATAAATGTTGATGCTTCCTTTCTACAACAGAATTTTGTTGTGGTCTTTCCACACAAGAAAATTGGTGAAGGGTACCTTTAGCTTCAAAGAATTCAGTGAAAGCTAATTCTTTTGCATTATCAGATCTAAAACCCTTGATATTAGTCCCAAATTGAGTTTGAACCATTTGAAAGAACTTTGGAATAACAGTTTGAGCATCTGACTTTTTTTCTAACCAGATAAGTCCAAGTGAATCTTGAACAATCATCAACCAAAGTTATGAAATATCTATGCCCTTGATGGGAATTAACAACACATGGTCCCCAAATATCACAATGTACTAAATCAAAAGGATTGAGTTTTAAATTGTTTGAAGAAGGAAAGGACAACTTCTTTTGTTTTGCTAAAGGACAAATAGCACATGGGGTTTTATCAAAATCCTTATTTGATACAAGAATACTATCAAGCATCTTGAGTTTATTGACAGATGGATGGCCAAATGTTTGGTGCCATTGTTGACATGAAACTGCATTGACAGAAACCATAGAAGAATGTGGAGAATCCTCTAAAACATATAAGCCAGCTTGAACTCTACCCCTGCCAATCATCTTCTTGTCCTTCAACTGCTTGATAAAAGCAAAATCATGATAAAATTTGACAGAAATAGTTCCAGGATTGGTTATGGATGTAATGGAGATAAAATTCAATTCAAATTCTGGAACAAAGAGAACATCTCTAAGCAGAATATGTGAATTGATCTTAATATCCCCAATATAATGAACAAATATTTTAGATTGATTTGGTAATAACACCCTTGTATCTGTAATTTTCTTCATACCCACAAATAACTCTTTATCATTACAAATATGTCTTGTTGCCCCTGAATCTAAAAATCCACACATTTGACTTGTAATGGCCAGTGATTAGATTGAGAATATAGTAATTACCTATTGAACTCTTATTAGAAGAAGAAACAACATTTCTAGAAGCAATCTTGCCAGATAACAAAGCTATAAGTTGTTGACATTGAGCATTGGTAAGATTGGTCACAACTTGACAATCATCCATAGGGGTATTTGTGGTATTTTGAGTGTTATGGCCTGTGGAATCTTCTTGGTTGAAAGAGATGGAGTTAACACGATTATCATTTGAAGACTGGTTGTTTCTGTATCCTGGAGGAAAGCCATGAAGACTATAGCATTTCTCTTGAATGTGACCAGTTCTTTTCCAATTAGTGCAAAAAGGAGGTTTGTTGTTGTTCTTGTAATTGGAACGGGTTTGAGACCTGTTTACAGAGTTAGAATCTCTGTTGCTATTGTTACTACGAACATTAAAAGCCATAGGAGTATTTGCTTGATTCATTCCAACATCCCTCTGTCGTTCTTCTTGAATGACAAGAGAAAAAATCTTATTAACAGAGGGCAAAGGGATCCATAAGTAGAATCTGACCCCTAATTTGGGCATATGTATCATTTAAACCCATTAAGAAACTCATAGACTGCTCTTTTTCTCTAGCTCCACCACAAACACATAAGCCACATGTACAATTCGAGTTATAATTTGCCAGTTCTTCCCAATAAACTTTGAGTTTAGTGAAGTAGGTGCTTACAGAGTCCTGACCTTGAACGAGATTCATGAGATCTCTTTTAATCTGAAATATTCGTGGTCCATTGCTTTGTTGGAATCTTTCCTTGAGTTCCTTCCAGATTGCTTCAGCTGTATTGAGATAGATCACAGAAGCCGATATCTCTTTGGAAATGGAATTGAGAAGCCACGAAATAACAATGTTGTTATTTCTGATCCATAACTTCAGCTTAATAGGATCTGATTCATTTGGCTCGGGAAGACTTCCATCAACAAAATCCATTTTATTCTTACTGAGAGAGAAATTGCCATGGATCTACTCCATGAAGCATAATTGTCGCCAATAAGAACTTGTGAGACAAGAACTAATCCTGGATTGTCAGAATGATGCAAATAATATGGATCATTTGTAGAATTTTGATCCATATTATTGCTAGTTTGAGTCGGATGAACATATTCTCCAGACATGATCGAAGAAAAAAAACTGAGATTCAACTGAATGAAGATCAAAGAGTGAAGATCAATGAAATGTAAACAGGAAGATTGAAGAAAAAATCAATCGAAACAAAATATCAAATGATCTA